GACCAGGGGTTTCACGAGTTCCTCTGACAAAAGTATTGGCTTGGGGAGTGAGACTCAGGGTTCACGAGTCTCCTCTGACTTTGTATTGGCTTCAGGGGGTAAACTTTCAGTGTTGGCATCCTCTAAGACGAAAAATATTATATCCATAGACGCCCGAGACTTGGTCAACAAACCACTTTCGTTCGGAACGTTTCCACTCCGTAGTCCGGGGGCGTAAAGAGGGCGTGTGGTCAGGAGGGGCAGGGGAGGAAAGTGGGTGTTTCCTCTGATCCCCCAATGGGCGGGGGGGTGTAGGTGTGGGGTACCCCCCCACGCTGCCCGAACAGGTGGGTATGAAGGAGACCATCAGGGGGTTTTGATGGGGGGGTGGCGGCGGCCCGGGACCTGTGGGACACAGGGTCTTCCCTGTCAGTGCCCATTAATATTAGTAATATATTTTAGTTGGTTTGACTAGCAGGAAAGGGGTGAAAGTGGTTTAAAGGGTTATAGGTTTTAAATGGTCATTAATGGCATTATGTATTAGTGTGTTAAGGGATAATTAGTGTTTAGTTTTTAATGGTCACTGGTGCTATATAATCTTATATATGATTTAGAGAGTCGCGAATTTTCACTCTTTCACGAGGGGACTAAAACAAAGGGGTTCGATCCCCGGTGCCGCATTTGTTATTGATTATATATATAAATCCGAGACGTCATGCAAACTTTAAAAAATATACAAAAAAATAAATAGTGGGAAACACAAAATTTTGATTTTAATGACCATACCACAGCTCATCAAAAATTTATAGAATTATCTCAAAGTTTTCAGAGAAACGAATTATGTCGGTTTGGAACGCCCAACAGCGTGATAATGATCTTTTTTACCCAAATAATATGTAAATTAGGCTCACAAAAAGTATTTTTTTGAGGCGAGTAATCGCCACGCAAACGGGGTTAAAAATTTGGTGGGCTGGTTTCCAAAACACTAAAAAAAAAGTCCAAAACCAAATTTTTATTTCCCTACAACACACAACACACACACACACCACACAAACACACACACACACAAACACACACACACACACCCCCCACACACACACACACACACACACCCCTGACTAGCCCCCTCGTAAACAGACTCAGGAGAATTCCAACAGCAATGTACAAAAACAAATGGAAAGAGAGGGTTCCCCCCCCCCCAAAAAAGTAAAAAAGGGTAGCACTAAAAAGGAAAAAAACGGGAATACCTGGAATATAAAAAAAAATGAAAGCTTAAACTACAAAAGTAAAAATTTTAACGAAGACTTTTCCAGCTGAGCTTAAAAAAGATTTTTTCCCCCACTGGGGATCATGGGAAAAAAGCTAAATCCGCGGTGTCATTGAGCACTGCTGTAAACTTAAAGGATCCACGTGAAAAATACGAGAGAAATCAGAATGCAAAGGGACGGACCCCTGTAAAGTAGGATAAAGAAAACAACTTTTTAAAAAAAAACAAATTTAAAAAAAAACAAATTTTTAAAAAGAAAGCAACATTGAAAAAGAAAGCAACTTTGAAAAAAAAACCAACTTTGAAAAGAAAACAACTTTGAAAAAGAAAATTAACATTGAAAAAAAAACAACTTTTAAAAAAAAAGCAACTTTGAAAAAAAAAAAGCAACTTTGAAAAAGAAAGAACTTTAAAAAGAAAGCAACTTTGAAAAAGAAAGAATTTTTTAAAAAGAAAGCAAATTTTAAAAAGAAAGCAAATTTTTAAAAAAAAGCAACTTTTAAAAAGAAGCAACTTTGAAAAAGAAAACAAAATTTTAAAAAGAAAGAACTTTTTAAAAGAAAGCAACTTTGAAAAAGAAAGCAACTTTGAAAAAGAAAGAACTTTGAAAAAGAAAAGCAAAATTGAAAAAGAAAGCAACTTTTTAAAAAAAAGCAACTTTTTAAAAAGAAAGCACTTTGAAAAAGAAAGCAACATTTGAAAAAGAAAGCAACTTTGAAAAAGAAAGCAACTTTGAAAAAGAAAGCAACATTGAAAAAGAAAGCAACTTTGAAAAAGAAAGCAACTTTGAAAAAGAAAGCAACTTTGAAAAAGAAAGCAACTTTTTAAAAAGAAAGCAACTTTGAAAAAAAAAGCAACTTTGAAAAAGAAAGCAATTCAAAAGGAAGAATTCAAACTTTGGAAAAAAAAAAGGGAAACCAGGGATTGAAGTTTTTAAAAAAAATAAAAAAATATGTTTTTGGCAATAGAGGATCCCCTTTGCTCTGAAGTCAAAAGGACGGGCCCAGGGAAAGAGCCCCTCCCCAAAAATCAAGATAATTAGTTTTGCATTTCGCTCCTTTCTAAGGGGAAAATAATAAAATTACACAATAAATTCACGCGGTGCGCATATCTCCTACGGATTTAGGCTTTTCCGGAATCCAGTAGTATAAAAATACGAAAAACAATAATATAAATTTTAAGAAAAAACAACCAAAAAAACTATAAATTAAAAAAAAAAAACTGCTTAAATGACCCTTTTTTTGCAATTTTAATTTCGATGTAATTGTAAGGAGAACCTCGCAGGATGGTGAGTGAAGGAGGCCAGGGAAGAGGCCGGGGTGGTGGGGTGGGGCTGGGGGTGGTGGGGGGGTGGTGTGGGGATGCTGCAGCTGGGGCTGGAGTAGGCTCCCACCTTTTTGCTGGTGGGAGGGGGTGGCGCCCGCCACCCCAGATGGCACAAACCCCCACAGCCGGGTGAAGTTGCCCCAGGGTGGAATCAGGGAGGGCAGGGGGACACAGGGCACGCCCTCACCACCTACAGCTGGGCACGCGTGTTCTTCCAGCTGGTAGCGCATTCTGTTCATATTTCTGACTTAAATAAAATTTTTAAACGTTATTGCTATAATATTTTGATCTTCACCCCGTCGTCCCTAATCATCTTTTTTTCCCGCGTCTATACCCTCTTTTCCCTTCTTCACCGCTATCACCACCCTCCCGCGTTTTCACGCAGTCATCATCACCCTCCCGCTTCTTTAAAGATTATCACTCACCCTCCTGCGTTTTTCACGCAGTCTATCACCCCCCTCTTTTCGTTTTCACGCAGTCTATCACTACCCTCTTGCGTTCTTCACGCAGCTACACTCACCCTTTGCGCTCTTCACGGTCATCACCAAATATTTCGTCCCCTTTCGTTGTCAAAATCTACACCTTGCTTTTCTTTTTCTCAGATGCAAAAGGGCACAAAATAATACTCCCTTCCTACTGGCTGAGCAAATAAAACCGATAAGAAAGAGTATTGCACCTAAATCTGGACTTCTGGGGGACTAAATTTACACCAGATAAGCTCCCTTTTCCCTGCTGTTCTTCCCTATACTTCTATTTCCATGGGATCTGAAAGCTTTTTTGTGTTTTCTAGGACATTTCTTTAGTTTGTAGATCAGTTTTCCCTACCCTGGGCGGGGTTGAACCCCCGTGGGATGGTTTTTTTTGCAATCTGTCATTACGTTCCGTGAGTCAGATCATCTTTGGTAAGCACCGTGTCAACGGTCTTCATACACAGTCTTCCCCAAAAACTACATTAAATTCGTGAAGCAGGGTTTGTCACAGTGTTGATGTACTTACCTATTTTTGGGTTTCAGGGGTCGAAACATAGCTCCTGGCTCTGCTTCACTGATCGCTCAGGTCCTCTTCCCCCCCCCTGCCCATGACTTTATTTTACCCCGTCTTAAAACTTGTAGGTTTCGCCTCCACTACACACTTTCCCCAATTTCCACTTCCTAACAACTTATGACCCAAGAAATGTTTTTCCCAAAAACCTGACCCATCTGAGCCCATCTTCCAATTGTGATCCCTTTTTCTGGTCCCATCTTTGGAAAATCCGTCTCTGCCACCTTTCAATTCCCCCCGTATTTTGTAAGTCGTTATCATGTCCCCTAACTCTCCTGTCCTCCAGTGTCGTCAGGCCCATTTCCCCCAACCTTTCTTCGTAGGGTATTCCCCCTTAGCTCTGGAAATAGCCTTGTTGCAAACCTTTGAAATTTCTCTAATTCTTGAAGGGTTGATCAGGTTGGGGTTCGAAACTGGGGGCCCCATACTCCGTATGGGGCCCGAAAAAACACGGGGTTTCAGAAACTTTAACGATCCTTAATGGGTATCGGAAGTTATTCCTGGTTTGCCCGGGTCCATTGCGCAGCAGTTATCTGGTTGAGGCCTCAGGAATGTGCTCGGTATTTACTCCCCCAAGATCCCTTTTCCCTTTAGTGTGTTGCAGTCTTTGGCCACCTACCTGTACTCTGTCTGCGGCTTTTTTACCCTTCCCCCATCTTCACGACATGCATTTGGCGGGGTTAAATTTAAGGAGCCAGTTGCGGATAAACTTGCACCCGAGGTCTCTTTGTAGTCCTGTTAATCCTATCCGATTTAATTCTCCTCATTAACTTCACTTTGCTCAAACAGGGACACTTTTGATCTATCCCCTTTCGCATGTCATTCACAATACCAAAAAAAAACACTGTCCCAGGATGACCCCTTGGGACCCCCCTATCCGGCGCCCATCTGACCCCTCGTACGTACGATCGTTGTTGCCTCTCTGTAGGTATTCCCTGTCCATAGGTGTGTATGCATGCTTACGTTATATCTCTTATTTAATTGCCGGTTTTCCCGTTGAGAACTAATTTAGTAACAAAAATGACACTATACAATATTTGCTTTCGTAAGGTGAAACCCCAAGTAAATAAAAAAAAAAGGAGAGTAAGAAAGTTCTCGAGAAAGGCCAGTAGTTTAGGCTCCTTTTTTATTGTTTTAATTTTTATTGTGGGTTTGTTTGTATACGACCAAAGTTGATTTCATTTTTGTACTGGGTTATTTACCCTTTTTTAACGGGAAAGGGCTGGGTTTCGGCCCCGATGCGGGGGACGGTCTGTAAGGTACTGTGTCTCTTTGGGAGAGTGCAGAGACGAGGAACCGTGGGGGGAGGTTTGGGGCATTGGCGGGGCCTTCTTCTGGGACAGTGCTTTAAGCCATTCCCCGGATCACCCCCAGGGTGATGACGATGCTACCGCAGCCCCGCAACCACACTATCAGCGGGGTACTCCCAAACTTCCTCTGCTGGGTTGCGAACCTGAGGAAGAACGACAAGTGTTTTTGTCAAAATTTATATGAATCTGCGTTTTCAAAGAAAAAAAACACGGAATGATTGCCTTTAAAAAAATAATGAAGCTTTTGTGTATAGGTTAAAAATGAAATAATTCCCATGAGTACCTAAAATTCTAATATATTTTTTGCGTTTGTTAGCCTTCAAAAAAAACCTTGTTTTTCAAGGTAATTAATCTTAAATAAGGTTGCCCGGGACACCTACAAGATTTTTAGCTATCCCCCTTTCCTAATCAAACCTTTTATTCCCAGGGTCTGATACTCAAATTGCCACTTTTAAAGATTTCGTCCATCCTGGGCCATTATTCCAGCACGGTTTGTGACTTGCAGTTTTTCATCACAATGGGAAAGTTCTTTCCCTTCTCTTTTCGGCGTCTTGACGGTGAAGGGCCCAAGCTTGATGGGGGAGAGGGCCCCCTGGGACTGTGGACGGCCACGTGGGGAGTGTAAGCTGTACCTGGGTCCAGACCGAAGCTACGAAGTGTGGCGTTGTGTTTGGCACTTTGGCACCCCGGGGAAGGCCCCAGATTCCCCACCGCAGGTTAAGTTCATATTTAAAATTTATATAATTAGCAATAATTTAGAACAAAAGAAGATCAAAAACAACCCAAATGGAAGTTGGGGGGAAGCCCCGGGCCTTTTGTGTTCAATAAAACATCTTCAGTAGCTTGCATATTGAGAAATGAATCGGAAACTCCCGAAAATGCGTTAATTTTCAACATGAAAGGCCCAGACTTTCATTCAACTCCTCTAGTGGTTGTTTTGCACAGTAAAAATAAATAACGTTGGAAGAAGCAAGAATCTACCCCAACTGGATCGGGGTCATTTTAGGATAGGGAGAGTTGAATCAACATTTTGCTATTTTCGACATTGTGAATCAGTTGGAAAAATGAACACAAAACACACACACACACACACACCACACACACCACCACCACACACACACACACACACACACACAACCAAAACACAAACATGGTTTAAAAACCATTTTGCAGGTAAGGGAAAAAGAGTCATTCCGCTGAGGACAGTAAAGATTTCTCACCCCCAACTGAACTTCGGGAAGAACGTAGGGAACACCCTTGCAGGAGACGAACACAGAAAGGTCGTTTTGGTTCCTGATAAACAACCCTCTAGAAAATCAGAGGCCCCCTGAGTAGAACAGGGGCACTCGGCAGCAGGTACACAGGCACGAGGATCGCCTTTAAACTAAAGACCCAACCCGGGTAATAGAAATTAGGGTTTTTCAACAGTTAAAACTACAAAACCAAATAAGTTACCTAAACTTCACGACTCGGCAAGTGAAGTTCCTTGATGCTTCTTTAGGGTTTTGTGATCCTGAATTGAAACTCCTTCTTCCCTGGGATCGAAACCCGATTGAAAAGTTTCCTAGGGGCGTACCCCTACCGGGCTTAGCATTTTTTAATAAAATAATAATAAAAAAAAAAAATAATATAATAATAAAATTAAAAATTAAATTATTAATAAAATAATAAAGACAAAATAAAAATGTAACAACAACAAAAATAATATTATAAATAATAATAATAAAATAATAATAATAATAAAAAAAAAATTAAAATTTTTAATAAAATAATAATGAAATATAATAATGATAACAACAAAAAAAAATAAAGTTTAAAAAATAAAAAATAATAAAATAAAAATAATAATAAAATAATAATAATAAATAATAATAATAATAAAAAATAATAATAATAATATAAAAAAATAATAAAAATTAATAATAATAATAATAATAATAATAAAAATTAAAATAATAATAATAAAAGTAATAAATTTAAAAAAAATGACACAATAATAATAATAAGATAATAAAAAAAATAATAATGAGTTATAAAAAATAAAAATAATCATAATAATAAAAATAAAAAAAAAATAATAAAATAAAAAATAATAATAATAATAAAAAATAATAATAATAATAATAATAATAAAAATTTATAATTAATAATAATAATAATAATATTAAAAATATTAGCAGTCAACTAAATAATATCACAGCCAGGGTCACTGTTAACAGGTTTAAAGCAAACCAGGCCACAAAACTTTCAACGTTACTAGTCAAGAGAGTGACAGCCGAGTAAGTCACGGTTTGACGCGAGAATCGAAGAAACTCGACTGCTAAGAAGCCCCAGAACGGGTGGTGTTTGTACACAAGGCAAGCGAGTTTTCGGACTTACTTGCCAAAGGTTTGAGTCTCACCTGTGATTTGACAAGGACATAATTTATTAGGTAACATGAGAGGAGGACCAACTTGTGTGGGAAAAAAATATTTGACGAAAACTGCGTTTTTACCCAAGTTGGGGCAACGTTTCGCTCTTTGTAGATCGAGATGTTTTTCCAAATAAAAGCATGTTCTGTTATTTAAGCTCTTTAAAAAAAAAATGAAAACTAATGGGTCAAAGGTCAAGGCCAAGAATCGGGGGAAGTTTTAATAACGTTGAATCAGGAAAAAAGTTGCTTAATTAGTAAAACCTAAGAATTTCAAGGAGAGGTTTATGTGTAAAAGGAGACACAAGGTTTATGTGTAAGAGGAGACACAAGGTTTATGTGTAAAGGGAGACACAAGGTTTATGTGTAAGAGGAGACACAAGGTTTATGTGTAAGAGGAGACACAAGGTTTATGTGTAAGAGGAGACACAAGGTTTATGTCTAAGAGGAGACACAAGATTATGTGTAAGAGGAGACACAAGGTTTATGTGTAAGAGGAGACACAAGGTTTATGGGGTAAGAGGAGACACAAGGTTTATGTGTAAGAGGAGACACAAGGTTTATGTGTAAGAGGAGACACAAGGTTTATGTGTAAGAGGAGACACAAGGTTTATGTCTAAGAGGAGACACAAGGTTTATGTGTAAGAGGAGACACAAGGTTTATGTGTAAGAGGAGACACAAGGTTTATGTGTAAGAGGAGGACACAAGGTTTATGTGTAAGAGGAGACACAAGGTTTATGTCTAAGAGGAGACACAAGGTTTATGTGTAAGAGGAGACACAAGGTTTATGTGTAAGAGGAGACACAAGGTTTATGTCTAAGAGGAGACACAAGGTTTATGTGTAAGAGGAGACACAAGGTTTATGTGTAAGAGGAGACACAAGGTTTATGTGTAAGAGGAGACACAAGGTTTATGTGTAAGAGGAGACACAAGGTTTATGTCTAAGAGGAGACACAAGGTTTATGTGTAAGAGGAGACACAAGGTTTATGTGTAAGAGGAGACACAAGGTTTATGTCTAAGAGGAGACACAAGGTTTATGTGTAAGAGGAGACACAAGGTTTATGTCTAAGAGGAGACACAAGGTTTATGTGTAAGAGGAGACACAAGGTTTATGTCTAAGAGGAGACACAAGGTTTATGTGTAAGAGGAGACACAAGGTTTATGTGTAAGAGGAGACACAAGGTTTATGTCTAAGAGGAGACACAAGGTTTATGTGTAAGAGGGGACACAAGGTTTATGTGTAAGAGGAGACACAGGTTTATGTGTAAGAGGAGACACAAGGTTTATGTGTAAGAGGAGACACAAGGTTTATGTCTAAGAGGAGACACAAGGTTTATGTGTAAGAGGAGACACAAGGTTTATGTGTAAGAGGAGACACAAGGTTTATGTGTAAGAGGAGACACAAGGTTTATGTGTAAGAGGAGACACAAGGTTTATGTGTAAGAGGAGATACAAGGTTTATGTGTAAGAGGAGACACAAGGTTTTATGTGTAAGAGGAGACACAAGGTTTATGTGTAAGAGGAGACACAAGGTTTATGTGTAAGAGGAGACACAAGTTTTATGTCTAAGAGGAGACACAAGGTTTATGTGTGTAAGAGGAGACACAAGGTTTATGTGTAAGAGGAGACACAAGGTTTATGTGTAAGAGGAGACACAAGGTTTATGTGTAAGAGGAGACACAAGGTTTATGTGTAAGAGGAGACACAAGGTTTATGTGTAAGAGGAGACACAAGGTTTATGGTAAGAGGAGACACAAGGTTATGTCTAAGAGGAGAACACAGGTTTTATGTGTAAGAGGGGACACAAGGTTTATGTGTAAGAGGAGACACAAGGTTTATGTGTAAGAGGAGACACAAGGTTTATGTGTAAGAGGAGACACAAGGTTTATGTGTAAGAGGAGACACAAGGTTTATGTGTAAGAGGAGACACAAGGTTTATGTGTAAGAGGAGACACAAGGTTTATGTGTAAGAGGAGACACAAGGTTTATGTGAAAGAGGGACACAAGGTTTATGTGTAAGAGGAGACACAAGGTTTATGTCTAAGTGGAGACACAAGGTTTATGTGTAAGAGGGGACACAAGGTTTATGTCTAAGAGGAGACACAAGGTTTATGTCTAAGAGGAGACACAAGGTTTATGGTGTAAGAGGAGACACAAGGTTTATGTCTAAGAGGAGACACAAGGTTTATGGTGTAAGAGGAGACACAAGGTTTATGTCTAAGAGGAGACACAAGGTTTATGTCTAAGAGGAGACACAAGGTTTATGTGTAAGAGAAGACACAAGGTTTATGGTCTAAGAGGAGACACAAGGTTTATGTGTAAGAGGAGGCACAAGGTTTATGTGTAAGAGGAGACGCAAGGTTTATGTCTAAGAGGAGACACAAGGTTTATGTCTAAGAGGAGACACAAGGTTTATGTGTAAGAGGAGACAAAAGGTTTATGTCTAAGAGGAGACACAAGGTTTATGTCTAAGAAGAGACACAAGGTTTATGTCTAAGAGGAGACACAAGGTTAATGTGTAAGAGGAGACACAAGGTTTATGTCTAAGAGGAGACAAAAGGGTTTATGTCTAGAGGAGACACAAGGTTTATGTGTAAGAGGAGACAAAAGGTTTATGTCTAAGAGGAGACACAAGGTTTATGTCTAAGAAGAGACACAAGGTTTATGTCTAAGAGAAGACACAAGGTTTATGTCTAAGAGGAGACACAAGGTTTATGTCTAAGAGGAGACACAAGGGTTTTATGTCTAAGAGGAGACACAAGGTTTATGTCTAAGAGAAGACACAAGGTTTATGTCTAAGAGAAGACACAAGGTTTATGTCTAAGAGGAGACACAAGGTTTATGTCTAAGAGAAGACACAAGGTTTATGTCTAAGAGGAGACACAAGGTTTATGTCTAAGAGGAGACACAAGGTTTATGTGTAAGAGGAGACACAAGGTTTATGTCTAAGAGGAGACACAAGGTTTATGTGTAAGAGGAGACACAAGGTTTATGTCTAAGAGGAGACACAAGGTTTATGTGTAAGAGGAGACACAAGGTTTATGTGTAAGAGGAGACACAAGGTTTATTTCTAAGAGGAGACACAAGGTTTATATGAAAGAGGAGACACAAGGTTTATGTGTAAGAGGAGACACAAGGTTTATTTCTAAGAGGAGACACAAGGTTTATGTGTAAGAGGAGACACAAGGTTTATGTGTAAGAGGAGACACAAGGTTTATGTGTAAGAGGAGACACAAGGTTTATGTGTAAGAGGAGACACAAGGTTTATATCTAAGAGGAGACACAAGGTTTATGTGTAAGAGGACACAAGGTTTATGTGTAAGAGGAGACACAAGGTTTATGTGTAAGAGGAGACACAAGGTTTAAGTTAACTAAGAGGTGCGAGGTACCTTGCAAGGGGTGGTGGGAGCCTTGATGATAGTGAAGAGGGGGGAAGGTCTCTTGATCCTAGGAATTAGAGGTCTCCTAACCCCCAATCTTGGATCAAATTTGAGTACGTTCAATTTTCCATGCGATGTGTAACTCATACGGTTTTAGCACTTTACCGTTAATGATAATAGTAATAACAATAATAATAAACATTTATTATAATAATAATAATGATAATAATAATAATAATAATAATAATAATAATAATAATAATAATAAATAATAATAATAATAATAATAATAATAATACATAAGGGCTCTTGATCCAGGCACTTTACAACCCTTACAGTTTTAGCTCTTCCCCATGAATATCCCCTCAAGGAAGGTTCCTTGACGCTGGTGAAGGGCTCTTGATCTAGGAAATTGGATCTGTGCTCCAGTTCCCTGAATTAAGTCTGCATACCTTCCATCCCCCCCTTATGCGCTGTATAATCCTACTCTTAAGGGTTAAGCGCTCCCTCGTCATTATACTACTACTACTAATAATTCCCATGAATAAAATAATCCATTGATAACATTGGGTATCTTTAATGAGGAAACGTTTCGCCACACAGTGGTTTCATCAGTCCTATACAGAGAAGAATGGTGAAAATCAGATGGACTTTGAGGTGATCAGTCCCTCAACCTAGAAACTACGTGAACGTGTGTCTAATTTATCACTGATAACATTAGAAGAAGGTGAAAATACTCACTAGCAGCCGTGACATTGATGACACAAGGCAGATGCTGAGTACCGATGCTGTTTGTAGCCGCACACAGCAGAAGCCCATAATCTCCAGGGGAGGCTGGGGTATAGGGCAGGATGCTGGTAGTACCCCAAGATGCTGCCCGTCCCTCACCCAGCTCCAGCAGGGACCCAGAGGAGTTGAACCTCCAGGTAAAGGTGACGTTGTCGGGCACTGCGTCCACACGGCAGGTGATGTTAGCGGTGTCGTGGTGGGCAACTTGGTACTCTAACTTCTGCCCAGGTGAGCACACTGGCGTGTCTGAGGAACAATCCACAAAGACGTGGGATATAACACACAGAAATGTGGATGCAATGAGAATCAGATATAATAGTGACAAATAATCAATACTGCAATAAAACAGAGACACGTCCTACGATACTCAGCGGAACAAAACAAAGAAAATTATAGTACATTCCGTGTGATTTAAACACGTCACAGTTCAGTAACGTACTAAGAAAATCAGTGATTTTGAGTGTCTGTTTATCAAGGTGTAGCAACACCGAACACAGCAACAATAGCAATAAAGCTATGCTTATCAGTGATATGCTTCTCAGTGATATGCTTCTCAGTGATATGCTTCTCAGTGATATGCTTATCAGTGATATGCTTATCAGTGATATGCTTCTCAGTGATATGCTTCTCAGTGATATGCTTATCAGTGATATGCTTATCAGTGATATGCTTCTCAGTGATATGCTTATCAGTGATATCTTGGTCATTATATCTAAGCTGTAATAAGAAGATAACTGGAATGATGTTTATATAACATACAATCACATAAAATCAATTTAGAAAATCGTTCAACATAAATCTATTGAATAAATAAATAAATAAATAAATAAATAAATAAATATATATATATATATATATATATATATATATATATATATATATATATATATATATATATATATATATATATATATATATATATACATATATATATATGTATGTATGTAAAGCCGAATAGGTAAAACTTGGTATTTTGGCTTAAATAGTAACGCACTTCTTGCCGAATAGTGCAGGCAAAAATTTGTGTATGTGAGAAACTTTTATAAAATATATTTAGTTGGATTAGGCTAAATTATATTGCGCTTGTTATAATATGGTTAGGTAAGTTTCCTAAGGTTTTTTTGGAACAAAATCATTAATTTTATATTAACATAATTGAAAAAAAACATTCATTAAATGATTAAGAGAAAATTTTAGAAAGGACTCATTTTTAAATGAGTTCTTGCTTAGTGGCCAATTTTACCTATTCTGCACGACATTATATATATATATATGCATATATATATATATATATATATATATATATATATATATATATATATATATATATATATATATATATGTATATATATATATATATATATATATATATATATATATATATATATATATATATATATATATATATATATATATATATATAATATATTACGGAAGCTCACACATGATGGTGATGGTGATGGGACTAGAGACTCCTTCACCGTGTAGGTTGGTCGCTCTGCAGTAGTAGCGGCCGGTGCGTTCCTTGCCAACCTTCTGCAGCACCAGCGTCTGGTTGGACACTATCACACCACCTGAGACGTTGTGTTGCATCACCGACCCCTGAGGGAGGCAAGCACCAGCAGGTAGTACGCAGAAGGAAGCACAGGGAGCACTGAGAAAGGGATACCAGCACGTAGCAGGAGGGTTAGAGATTCCTAAGGGAGGACTTACAGCAGGTAGTAGGCAGCAGGGAGCACTGAGAGAGGGATACCAGCAGGTAGCAGGAAGGAGTGAGACTCTGGCCTAATGGCCTCTTACACGCCTCTCACAAATCACCCTCGGCATTAACCAAGAAAAGGTGACGTTGTAAAGGAAGACGAGCACCTAGAGAGAGAGAGAGAGAGAGAGAGAAAGAGAAAGAGAGAGAGAGAGAGAGAGAGAGAGAGAGAGAGAGAGAGAGAGAGAGAGAGAGAGAGAGAGAGAGAGAGAGAGAAAGAGGTTTCATTACTAATGTTGGAGAGCTCACACATAGCTTTGTGAACACTCGACGTCCCGACATGATAGCTGTTGTTGAAACATTTTTGGATGACAGGACTCCAGAAAATTTTGCAAGAATTGCTGGCTACACCTCATGGATGAGAAGAGACAGGCAAGGGCAAGGAGGTGGTGTTGCTGTGTGCTTCTCTAAAAGTGTTCATGCCCAGCACATAGATGTTGCCACCCCTACACATCTTGAAATGATGTTCTTCAAGCTCTGTATAAACACTAGTACCTCTGTACTAGCATGTGCAATGTACAGACCTCAGTGGCAACATGCAGACCCTATCAACTTCCTAATGGAAAATATTGACTCCCTTCTGCTACAACACAACTGTCAACATATTATAATTGTTGGTGACCTCAACCAGCACCTTATACAGAGGGACTTTGATGACCTTCTTGCAGTGTTTGACATGAGAAACTTTGTTGATTTCCCTACTCATATCTCTGGCTCCTCCCTTGACCCAGTAGTGAGTGATCTGGCAGAAGGCATAGTCACTTGTCAACCCCTCGGGTACGTTGGATCGTCTGACCACAAGGCTGTTTTTACCACACTTAAGATCCCAACAGAACGAGGTGAGGAGTCCACACGCACAACCTGGCTATGGGAAAGAGGTAATTGGCCAGCCCTTTGCTCTGAGCTCGCCACCACCGACTGGAATGCTCTTCTCCAGGGGGATGTTGACAACCAAGTGAAAGCCTTCACTGGACACATCCTTAATCTGCAACAAGAAACACATTCCTCACCGGCAATATGTGACAAAGCCTACAGATCAGCCTTGGTTTGGCTTTCGTTGTAGAGAGGCTGCTACTGCTAAGTACAAAGCATGGCGAAGGTATAAGAGACATCCTACCACCTATAACAGGAACTTGCACATGCAAGCCTGTAGGCATATGGGTGATGTTCAAAAGTGGGCCATTGCTAAATGGGAGTTGGACACTAAAGAAAGTTAGCATCAGGTAGGGGTAGGCTCCAAAACCTGGTGGTCCCTGGTCAAGGACAGACAAGGTTATCTGCCTGATGAACTTATTCCACCTCTAAATCGACAGGATGGGACCACCTCTACTAGTAGTCAAGAGAAAGCGGACCTCTTTGCTGAACACTTTGCTACCAAAATGCAAGTTCCTGATCCAGCAAGGGACCCTCCTTGGCTAGCTGCAAGAACTGTGTCAAAACTGTCAGGGGTGACAATAAGGCAGGAGGAGGTGCATTTCCTTCTTAAATCACTTGACCAAGAAAAGGCTGTGGGCCCAGACAAGTTGAGCCAAGATTGTTGAGAAGATGTGCAGACCAGCTAGCAGCACCTCTAACTCGCATCTTTCAGCACTGCCTAGTACAGTGCAAATGGCCCTCTCCATGGAAAGAGGCAAATGTAGTCCCTGTTCACAAAAAGAAGAGCAGAGCAGAAATCAGCAACTACAGACCAGTGTCACTCCTGTCAATCACTGGTAAGATCCTTGAGACAATAATCTC